TAGAAGAAAATCACGCATGCTTAGCTAACCATCCATTCCAGGCCTTACAGAGGTGGTTTTTGTGAGAAGCTCTTTAATTTCAGAAATACACTCTGAGATTTACCATTACCTTCCCAGGAACGGACGCTATTAGAAAAAAGGGTTTTGGATGTTGGTCGGACTAGAATTTGAGCCTGGATCTGATCTCAAGTGAAATCATAGTCCACAATGACAAGGGGTTTGAAGCTTAAAATAACTTCTGTTGAGAGCTTATACTTCTTGAGAAATTTCAATTTTCAGTTGAAAATAGAATCGATATTTTATCCAAGGTGCTAAAAAACTGTTCCCTACACCATTTCATAAAATGAGAATATATAGGTCCCTATATTAGTATCGAAATACCTATAGGCAACGTTGCATAATTATAAATTAGCATAAATGCACCGTTGTATGTACATATATCTCCATGCATACTTAGTATAGTACATACATATCTACATGCATAGATGCCTCATGCAAGCTGTTCGTGGCGTGAGTTAAGACATATTTAAATGCAGAAGACAATCGTGTAGGAATGCATGTATTTATGCAGAAGGACAAAGAAATGACACTACAAGGCCACTAAAAAGGACATTCAAAACACACTTGAATATACATAAATATGTATGTACGTACAATTGTTCATGTTTGTTATACACATTTGCCTACGTTGTCATGTACGCATGCTTCGAGCTATTGTGACTAACATTCCATAGCGACCTTCGAATTGTGCTTATGCTGCAGCTATTAAGATCCGCTGTAGGTAAGGAAGAAAAAACTTAGTTCCCAGGCACTTAGTTGCTTACTTAACCAAGTATGAACTTGGTGAAATACATGTACAAAAGTAAAGGGTGTTTCGTAAGATTTCTTATATTAATAAAATGTACATGAAGGCATACATATACAGAGGTAAAGGGTGTATGTAAAGAGATGTCACTCTAATTAGAATGCTTGCTATATTGGTAAGTTATACGCTTGCATTTTAAATAATGAAACCTCAGAGTAAATTATTAAAAATTAATAGGCGATTTTTGTAAAGAAATTCCGACTTCTAACTAAGCTAGAAAACTAACACTACCTACTCTCACATCATGCTTTTTAATGTAACTTTTACCCCTTTAAAGAGGCCTTGAGCGCTGAAACTTATTCCAGCTGCACAACAAACAAGCCTCAGGCTGAGCAGAAATTGACTACTTTTTATTCATTGTCTTTTTCCTCTCTTCCCACAGAAAAACTCAACGTCCTTTACGAGCGTAACTGGTCAACGCTGGTGCACGAACAACTGCGACGTTTTGAAGACTCAATTGTGGCAGCGACACGTCATACCAACAACAGCAGCAGCGTCGGCATGTTTGGTAGTAGTACAACAGCGTTGCGGCGCTATGGCAGCGCATTTGATACGACAGCAGATGCGGCATTAATGCCCACACATTGGAGCTTCGGTGAGGCGTTGCTCTACTCAGTGACTGTGATAACGACAATCGGTAAGTGAACGGCTAAATTGTATACATTTATAGAAGTGGCGGAAACCGAATTGGGAGATTTTATAAATTTCAACAAAATTAACCGAAATTGAGTGAAAACTCTTAGTCGTGGTACACAACGGGTCTTAAACCCGTGACCTATGTGTGTCCCTGCCTAGCAGTGGCCACCACACCTATCTATCCACCACCTACCCATCTGTAGTTAGACGAAATAATTCTGAGTACGCTGATCCTGCAAGCTAGTACTAGGTTTATGGAAGAAGAAGTATACGGTACCCAATGCGATTTCTCCCATATTAAATTTCTTTTTTTGAACACTTTTGTGAATTCAAGTATTTGAACATGAGTTTGGAGAGAAATCAGTTTTAGAAAATATTTAAAGAAAGAACAGAACAGGAATTTTCCTACCCGAGAACCAATAGATGGTCTCTTCGTATGTAAGACATTTATCACGTATATTAAGCGGAAAAGGATACCTTCGATAGAATACGTAGAAGAATTTGAACCACCTCTATTGTAACACTCAATCGCTAGAAATTGATATAAGATTATACATATAGATTGATATAAGAAGACAATTTTTTTTATATGTTTTTACCTATTCTCTATCACTCACACCCCCCATGGCCGTGCGCCATTTCATTTTCTTCAAGGCAGAAAGAGCAAATGGGTTTGCCATGTGTGCCGATCACATTGAGGTATTTGTATCGCGATAATGAACCTATCAGCAACCCCACAAGTTGTCAGCAGTCTCATCTATTCAATATCTTCTAAAACTGGTATAACTGGCAGCGGACCATGAAAAGTCTTGTCTGAGCCTACACACTATTAGCGACGCTAATGCCGAGACACGTAAACTTAATTTTTGGTCGTAGATTATGGATTTGTACACCATTCTTCTATATCAGGGCAATTCCCAAGATATTTTCGTTTTAAGTGTGCATTGCAAATGAAAAGAAAAAATTCTTACTTGATCAGGGAAAATCTTTCTTCTCAAACACCATGTGCGAGTATGTACTACGAGTAGGGCTATGTACGATATGGCGTATGAGTAATATTATTTCCTGCTCCTATTTCAACAAAATATTATTTTACATTTTCATTCGACCGTTCATACTTGCTTATTTATCTATCGATTTTCATCGTTAGCTTTATTTTATAGCAAAAAAAACAGACTTTAATACAATTGAAACAAATTACAAAATTTTCTGTCTTTTTAATTTTTTCCTTGGTAATGTTTGAATTTCTTTTCATAAAAATGAAAATGTCTTTTGAAAATTTCCTGATCTGAATGCAAATACATAATCTACGACTCAAACTTAAGTTCATGTCGCCGTTTTTTTTGTGTCATTTCAAAACTTCAGATTTTTCGTTGTAACTCATTACCAAGTAAATACTTCCCAGGACCTGGCAGCCAAAATAAAACTAATTCATTCAGCCCTTTCATGAGTTTTATTTTCCTCGAACCGGTTCACTTTTCACGATAGGTTTTCATGTATTTACTATGGGTGGAATACCAATTTTCGGCTTAATTTTTATTTCTTTTTGTGGAAAAACTCTGGATAAGGCAGATTATGTGTTCTAAAATTATTAATCCACGACTTCTGTGTAGAATTAGTTCGAAAGGACTTAGAGTGCAAGCCAATGCCTTGAGTGCAGCTTGGAAGTCATAGCCTTGAGGGTTTCAAATACCTCGCTTTGGAATTCCGAGGAACACGCCTGAAAAAGTAAGTGGATGTTGGCCTCATTATTTCAATACAGGTTCCAGTTTCTCTACAAGAGGTAATTTCGGAGACATCAGTTAAAGTTTTATAATGTGTAAGCCCGCACCTTATACTCGAGTTTATTAACCGCTCAGCTCTTCATCAAACTCAATAGGCGCATACAAACCGTGACATTGGAAAAATTCGAACGCTTAGATCTCTGCCTATTTTGACTGAGAGTTTGTTCCATTACATCAAATACTATGATCACATCTAACGAGGAGAATGGCGAGACTATACTAATTTAATTTTCAACAATAATTTATTAAGACCTTCAAGGTGTTTTGTTCATCTAAAGCAGTGTTTGCATTATTCAACTTTGCGTTCAACAATTGCGTTCAACTCAACGCAGGGTTGCACGAAAAAAAAGTTGAATGGCTAAATGTTGGCTGGCGACCAACTTTGTTGAAAGCGATTAGTTGAAAGGCCATTCAACCAAAAGTTGAATGCAAAGTTGAACGATGCAAACACCTTTTTATGGCGAATATTTTGATATTTTTTCATATTTTGATATTTTTAGCCATTCTACTTTTTTTTCGTGCAACCCTGCGCTGAGTTGAACGCAAGGTTGAACAATGCAAACACACTTTAAGAGTTAATTTTGTGGGATTATACCTAAATAAGGCACAACACAAGAAGGTTTGAGTAACAACGCCTAAGGGTACGTTCACACAGAAAGCGGAGCCGAGCCGAGCGAAGCCGTTCCAAGCTGAATGAAGTTTTCAAATTTCTGTGGCTATATGAAAGTATTCATATAGCAAGCTTTTCCATAAGCGTTTTTGAGCTGAAAGCAAAGCAGTTTTTGATTTTGAATTTTTTGTTTAATTTTTCAGCTTCATGACGCTGCTGCAAACAAAATTGCAAAATATTCAAATAAAAACAAATTTTACAACTAATCTTTTGAATAAAATAGAGCAGATATTTTTGGCGCTTTTCATTGACGGTAAGTTTTGTGGTACCTTTGCAGCCGAGTCCATGCTCCGATTCGCTTCGTTCGGTGTGAACACCAGCAGTTTGGCTTTGTTCCGCCTTGCTTCGCTCGACGCGGCTCGACTTTCGGTGTGAACGCGTCCTAGAAGATATGTTGCAGAGAGATAGTCAGGAAAGCTGCTTAAAATGAAAAAGTCGCAACTCTTGCAACACTTGATAAAGTGGATTCCTTTCAAACTGTATCATCTTTAGGAAGCTATAGTGTAAATCTTTTGATGTCGTAGATATTTCTTTTTTATGTGAGAGGCTTTCATAATTTATATACGTAGGGTTTACTGATGACCTCTCACTCGCCTTTCCAATTGTAATCCTTCAACTTTGTTTCGTCCACCATTTTAAAAAATTGCTGCAATAAGTATGTATAACAAAAAAGTACCACTTACTTATACGGCAAAATAAATGTTTTTAAACGGTATATGGAAGTTGCAGCCGAGTAAAAATTTTAATGGATCCTCACTCAGTCACCCCATTGCATACCCACTAGCATATAAATGATGCATAATTGCTGGGTCCGTAAGTTTGTTACTGCAATCTTTTACCAATTTATTGACTCGCTAGCAAATCAAAGATCACAGATTAAATTGCTACATGCTGTAAGCATGCAAAAATAACAGCAAGTATGTAGGCAACCATGTGCACCTTCAGAAGTGTACAAAAAATGCAGCTGCCTCAGGTGCTATCATTCGCAAAACTGTGGGGAGCTTTCATTCGCAAATGTGCAAGAGAAAATATAAATACAAACTTGCGTGTGTATATATGTATGTATGCATACGTATTCACCAATATGCAGCTCAGGAGCACTTCTGTGTAACCACGGGGGCCCTTTTGTTTAAGCGCTGAGAAACTGGAATTTTTATGCGTAAACGCATTTTACTTGCTGTTGTCGTGTATAAAAATATGTACACCATTGTAAGCATACATATATGTATGTGTTTGCATGTACTGTTGCTGCAGCAAGCGCAGTGATCCAAGGTTATGCAAAGAAAGATGGTAGAATGATTTGCTAGGCATATACAGTGGTGTAAAAATAAATTGGGACACGACAATTTTTCAAATTTTGCCTACTTTTCTTTCGTTTACTTAAAATGTATTATTATTTTTTATAAAATTAAAGCTCATTGTCTAACAAAAATCATATCAAATGGGCTATAAAACTATATACTCAAAGAAATTCTAAAGAATCTGATAAAAAGTTTAAAATATAGATGCAATTTTGCAGAATTTTTATAGTTCTTGCTTAAAGTTTGACATAGGTATTTATATGGTTTTTGTAGACAATAAGCTATACTTTTATAAAAAAAACTAAATATTAAATGAACAAAAGAAAAACAGGAAAAATTTGTTAAAATGTCGTCTTCCTATTTTTTCTACTACTGTATTAGTACCAGTATTCATAAGGGAAGGTACAAAACATACAACTACATACATATATTTGTACATACATTAGACCGTACCAGAAAAAAAGTTATCTCAACATCCCTGAGTCTAACGCATTTTTGCAAGGCAGTTTAGATAAAAAAAACAAATTATTTTGTTTGGCCGAAAGTAGCGGTGCCATTTTAATATTTTGCGTCATATCTTCAGCATTTACAGCCGGGTCTTAAAGTAAGATATATCGATGTTCTGTCTCGAGGAGATAACTTTTTTGTTCGAACGTTCAGTGGCCTCAAGTTCTCCATACTAATACTCATCCTAGCGTACTAACCTAACGTCCGCACACTAAAGCTCACCAAAAACCCATTGAAGTTTTGCTAAAAATTGATTCATTAATGTACTGAAAATTTTAAGGGTGGCTCCTTGGGTATACGGCGAACCTTTTTTTGTTTGCTTGTAAGTTCATACACATTTAGTTGTTTATGATGCAGCTTCTATGCACTCGTCCTCCACTTCTGCAATGCCATAGCCACTAGCACTGACACTGACCAAATGGCAGCACTGCAGTAAAATTGAAGATAAACATTTATTTTTTTATTGTGTTTTCAGTCGACAAGCGCTGCCACACGCAGGCACACACGCATTGCACGTACACATTTATGTAGGTGTGTATGCGCGTTATACCTATCGCATATATGAAGGTAATGTATTCATCTGTGTTATGTATGTGATATTCAAATGTATTTATACAAACATGTGTAAGTATTCATGCGCTTTTGACCTCAGCATGCCAAGAGGAATCAAGTGAATATACATCCATGCATCAGCATCCAACGCAACAGCCTTCAACACATTCGCTCAAATTTATTTTCA